TAGTAATATATTTTTTTTTTTTAACGAAACGATAGATGGATTAAAACTTAAAATGAATGTACAAGGTTCGAAGGCATACTAGCCCAAATGCAGCAAACTCCTACACAGGAGGATCACCAAAGGTGTCCTAGAAACCTAACACAAATCATCTATCGGGTAACAGAGACAAAGCTACAGCAATTACCCAACACCACAGTTTCAATTCCAACCTTCTAAGTGCAGTAACCGGACAGATTACAAAAATATCAAACATAAAACAAAGGAGCATCTAAAATTTAAAAAGCAACCACTGAACACTAAAGGAACCTAGTTGTTCTTCAATTTTAGTTTGATCCGTTGCCTGAAAATTCCAGCCAGCCATTCAAAGCGTATTGCACCACTGCCTTTGCCGGTCGATTGACCTTCTCAAAAACACATTGGTTACGAGCTTTCCAAATTTTCCATAACAGATACGAGGTAAGTTGGAGTCTGTCATCAGTTGAAGGGCTTTTCTTCATTAAGCACAGTGAGTTCCACCAACCTTTGAAATCGATAGTCTCCTGGAGTATGCCATCCCAAGTAACTGGTGACTTCTCCCAAATCCTCTGAGCTTTGATGCATTGGAAAAAGAGATGCTCTAATGTTTCAGGCCCTTCCCCACAAGCTTTGCAAATCACATCCATTTGTATCCCCTGTTTACACAAATTATAATTAACTGGCAGTATGTTGGAGTAGCATTTCCATAAAAAGTGCTTCACCTTCTCTTGGATTTTCAGTGACCAGCTCTTCTTTCTGACCCTTCGACCCACTTTCTGCTCCAAACTACACTCTGCATTATCCATTTGGCGCCATTTCTCCCACACCAGTCTGTTGTAAGTTGAGGCCACAGTAAAATCCCCTTTAGCATTCCAGTCCCATAATACTCTATCTTTCTCTTCAGGCTTCAGAGGTTGAATAGACTTGATTGCTTTCACTTCCTGGTCAGTGAAAATTTCTTTCAATAGATCAACATTCCAATGCCTTCCTGTACTATCCATCAGATCTTTCACCAAATTCAAGTCTCTGTTCACTGGCTTAGGAGTTGTTGGTTTGAAATTTCTGAGTCTTGGAATCCATGGTTGATCCCAAATTTTAATAGATCTGCCATCTTTGACATCAAACCTTATCCCTCTGTTCAGAATCTCCTTAGCCTCCATCCAACTATTCCAAAGCCATGATCCACTTTTTGATTTTTGTGCTTCCAAAACTGATGTCTTAGGGAAGTACTTAGCTTTCAAAATTCTGCTGACAAGCTGATTTGGCTTAGTGAATATCCTCCAAACCTGTTTAGCAATCAATGCCTGGTTCAGTAAGTTGATATCTTTAAAATTCAACCCTCCCAGCTCCTTTGGTACAGTTATCCACTTCCAAGCTTTCCAGAACACACCTTTCTTGTTTGGGTTAGAGGATTTCCACCAGAAGGATGCAAAAACCTGTGCCAAATGCTTGCAAATGGTTTTAGGCAAGAGAAAGCAAGACATAACATAAATTGGCAAGGCTCCCAAAACTGCTTTAAGTAGCACTTCTTTCCCTGCTTGTGAAAGAAAGCAGTTTTTCCAGCTTTTGATTTTTTTTTTTACATTATCAGTAACAAAAGAGAAGGTATCAATTTTAGAAGTGCCAATACCCAGAGGAAGTCCTAAATATTTGGAAGAGTTATGATGAGCAATCCCTAACAAAACATTACTGATGTCAGTCTTCTCATTCGGAGTTGCATTCCTACTGAAGAAAATGGAGGATTTGGCTAGGTTAACTGTTTGGCCAGAAAAGGTTTTGAACTTCTTCAATAAATCAAGTAAGGTCTTAGCATGAGAAGTGTCTGCTTTACAAAACACAATGGTATCATCCGCAAAAAATAAGTGGGAGAATGCAGGGCCATTAAAACATGGTAATTCTGGCTGTGCTCTTCTGTGGCGTGCAAATTATCTCACTTCGTTGTCACTAAAGATATTTTTTTTTGCCAAAAGTCCTCTTCCACGACTTTATTGCAGTTGATTGTGTACCTTCCCCGGTATGATTTCTCAACACGGTTCTCGAATTTATTAATTTTATATTTCCTCAAACTAATATAATATTAATATATAAAAAAACTCAAAGGACGAGAAAGGCGCAAATATTTAGGGGTGTGCCAGGGTAGTTTAAAATGAACTTAGGTGTGCCAAAGACAGTTTAAAATGAACATGTTATGTTACAAAATGAACATGTGCAAACATGACAAAACATAACATGTTTATTTTAAACTGTCATGACACACCTTGTTAGGTGTGTGCCAGTGTGCACGGTAGTAGCACTGCGAGAAAGGCTAACAGCGGGAAAAGTTCCATCACTTTTATCACCAACGATCCAAACACGTGCGAGTGTGACGATCCAAACAATATGATTTTTTTTTTTTATAGCAGCTAATAAGTTAGGTCTAGCTGTGTAAGCAAATTGAGTCGAGCTCGAGCTCGAGCTCTCGAACACTCGGCTTGCTAACTGAGCAGTAATCAAACTCGAACTTAACTCTTTTATCAATATTAAAAAATCGAGCTTGAACTATAAAAAATATGTAAAAATTCCTCTTCCTGAGTCTTTACGAGTTGAGCTGAGTTGAACCCAACTCGTTAATTAAAGCTCGGCTCATTTGAACGAGTCTTTACAAGCCAAATTGAGTTGAACCCAACTCGTTAACTAAAGTTTGACTCATTTGTCAAGTAAAACTCAAAACTTAAAACGAACAAAAAACAAAAAAAAAACCAAATGTTGTGAATAGTATTATACAGTGGACTTACCACTATTTCAAAATAGTAATGTGATGATGATAAAAGTTTTTGTGGAGGAAGTTGTAACTAGTGTCGGTAAAATTTTCCTATAAAAGGCACTGCAAATGCAATGGAAAATACACATTCATAAGAGAAAGAAAGAAAGATTGAGTATAAGTTATATTCAGTTTTTCTATTGTGTTCTTTATCTTTCTGTTTTTATAACACGTTATCAGTACGAACGCTCTACCCGGTCCGAAAGGTAGGAATATACTAATATATACATACATTACATAAAATTAGTATATTTTACTAATCTGCATATTACCATTATTTTTTACAAGTACGGCTCTGCCATAGTCAATAATATGTGGTATGAATATACTAAATATAACATTATACTAATTTACATATTACCATTATTATTAGCAAGTAAGGCTATGCCATAGTCAATAAAATGTGGTAAGATGATATTATCAAATTTATTTATGGATTACTAATGATTAAGAAAAATGACTTCATGTTATAGTTAAAATGTATATAATATTATTACTTGTACTTCACACCCGCAAAATGGTTTACCCAGTAATGTGGCGTGAAATTTATAACTGCTTATTTTCGTACCCACAGAAAGATTTATCGAGTTGTGTGGAGTGACATTTTATTTGTTTTGTTACTTGTATTCACTAAAATGTTTACCTAGTAACCCGGAATATTTTTAAGTTGATAGTGAGACCATCACATACTAAAGTCATACATGAATCACCATTATTTATAGAGGATTCATGGTGATATATGTGGACCTATTCATCCACCTTGTGGTCCGTTCAGATATTTATGGTGTTGATTGATGTTTCTAGTAGATGGTCTCACGTGAGTTTGTTATCCACTCAAAATGTGGCATTTGCCAAATTACTCGCCCAACTTATTAAATTAAGGGCTCAATTCCCAGATTATATTATCAAAAGGGTCAGACTTGACAATGTTGGTGAATTTACATCTCAAGCATTTAATGATTATTGTATGACAGTAGAAATTGATGTTGACATCCTGTGGCACATGTTCATACTCAAAATGGTCTAGCTGAATCATTAATTAAACGATTGCAGCTTATTGCTAGACCATTAATAATGAGGACAAAACTCCCCACTTCAGTATGGGGACATGCTATTCTGCATGCAGATGATCTATTCGAATAAGACCAAGTACATACCATACATACTCGCCATTACAGTTGGTATATGGTCGAGAACCAAATATTGCACATACAAGAGTTTTTGATTGTGCAGTGTATGTACCAATTGTTCCACCCCAGCGTACAAAAATGGGGCCACAAAGAAGGTTGGGAATATATGTTGGATATGAATCTCCATCAATAATCAAATACCTTGAGCCAAAAACATGTGATGTTTTTACAGCTCGGTTTGATGATTGCCATTTTAATGAAGAATTATTTTCCCCCTTAGGCGAGAGTGAAAAATCAATTGAAAGAAATATTGAATGGAGAACATCATCACTATCATATCTTGATCCTTCCACCAAACAAAGAGAGCAAGAAGTTCAAAAGATCATACATCTGCAGAATATTGCAAATCAACTGCCAGATGCATTTACTGATGTAAAAAAGGTGACCAAATCACATGTGGCAGCTATAAATGCCCCTGCTCGAATTGAGATTCCAAAAGAAATGAAAAATGATAATATGTCAAATGAGTCAAAGATACGCTTGAAACGAGGAAGACCAATTGGGTCTAAAGATAAGAATCCTCGAAGGAAAAGAGAAATTCATAACCCAAATTTAAAAAAGAATCAAGATGATGAGAAAATTTTGGGAAGAAATGAAAATATTAAAATTTCCATTAATTACGTAAATAATGGGAATCTTTGGAAGCGTGATGAGATCATAAATATTGATGATGCATTTGCATATATGGTATCAAAAGAAATTGATAATGATGTTGAGGATCCTGAACCAAAATCTGTAACTAAATGTCAGAAAAGACATGATTGGGATAAATGAAAAGGCGCCATCCAAGCCGAGTTAGATTCACTCAATAAACAAAAAGTTTTTAGGCCTATTTCCATTGCGCCAAAAGGCATAAAACCTATTGGATACAAATGGGTTTTCATCAGAAAAAGAAATGAGAAAAATGAGATCACGAGATATAAAGGTTGCCTTGTAGCACAGGGATTTTCCCAAAGGCCTCGGATCGATTATGATGATACATATTCCCCTGTCATGGATGCAATTACTTTCAGATACTTGATCAGTTTAGCTATCCATGAAAATCTTGAGATGCATCTCATGGATGTTGTGACTGCTTACATGTATGGATCATTAGACACCGACATATACATGAAAATCCCAGAAAGAATCAGAATGCCCGAAACACTAAAATCCAAGCCTAAGGAGTTATGTGCAATAAAGCTGCAAAGGTCATTATATGGCTTGAAACAATCCGGGCGTATGTGGTATAATTGTTTGAGTGAACAATTGCTTAAAAAGGTATACTTAAATGATCAAATATGTTCGTGTGTCTTTATAAAGAAATCACATGATGGAGTTGTAATAATTGCTGTCTATGCTGATGATCTTAATATTATTGGGACAACAAATGAAATTCGAGAAGCAGTCACTTTTCTGAAAGGCGAATTTGAAATGAAAGATCTCGGAAAACCCAAATATTGCCTCGGCTTACAGATAAAAAGAGAGAGTATAGAATGAGATATTTGTCCATCAGTCTAACTATATTAAAAGAGTATTGAAACGATTCAATATGGACAAAGCTAATCCCCTTAGTACTTCGATGGTTAACCGAACATTGGATGTTGAAAAGGATCCATTTCGACCTTGTGAAGAAAATAAAGAAATACTTAGTCCTGAGATACCATATATGAGTGCAATAGGGGCTCTTATGTATCTTGCTAATTGCACCAGACCAGATATATCTTTGCTATCAACTTATTAGCAAGATATAACTCGTCACCTACGAGGAGACACTGGAATGGAATCAAGCATATATTTCGTTATCTCCAAGGAACAATCGATCTGAGATTATTTTACTCAAATGATAAAAAAAACATGAAATGATTGGTTTTGCAGATGCAGGATATTTATCAGACCCACATAAGGCGAGATCTCAAACTGGCTACGTATTCACCATTGGTAGAACTGTATTTTCTTGGCGTTTTTAGAAACAAACACTGGTTGCTACATCTTCAAACCATGCTGAAATCATTGCACTTCATGAAGCAACTAGGGAAAGCAAACATGACTCAGCACATTCAACAAGCCAGTGAATTATGAAATAATAAAGATCCGACGGTGATATTTGAAGACAATGCAGCATGTGTCGCTCAAACTAAAGAAGGATACATTAAGAGTGACAGAACTAAATATATCCCACCAAAGTTCTTCTCGTATACTCAAGAGCTTGAAAGGAACAAACAGGTCAAGATTCAATACATCCGATCAAGTGATAATGCAACAGATTTACTTACAAAAGCGCTCCCAACTACAACATTCCGGAAGCACGTCCACAACATTGGAATGAGACATCTTCGAGATTTGCACATATGATAACTCGAGGGGGAGCATGTGCGGTTGTACTCTTTTTTCTTTATCTCGGTTTTTTTACCACAGGGTTTTTCCGGATAAGGTTTTTAACGAGGCAGCAACACACATTTTATAGTGGTAATTCTAAGGGGGAGTGTTGTGAATAGTATTGTACAGTGGCTTACCACTATTTCAAAATAGTAATGTGATGATGATGATAAAAGTTTTTGTGGAGAAAATTGTAACTAGTGTCGGTAGAATTTGCCTATAAAAGGCACTGCAAATGAAATGGAAAATACACATTCAGAAGAGAAAGAAAGAAAGATTGAGTAGAAGTTATATCTAATTTTTCTAGTGTGTTCTTTATATTTCTGTTTTTATTATAACACTAAACTCAAAACTTATAAAATTGAATTTTCCAACTTCCCATTTCATCTAACGAGTGAGCATAACATAAAATGGAAACTTTTTTGCCCATGAACTAATAAATTAAACAATGTTGGCCCACGTGCACCTAGCATAAAGTAGCCGAGCCCCTGCACTGCAGTATACAGTAACGGTTTTCCAGAAATTCACAGAGAAATTGAGAGAGACAGAGGAATAGAGGATGACTATCAGCGCAGGTGATGGAACCTCTGAGCCGGAGATTCCCCTACTGAACGACGTCGTTCCAAGTTCCGTCGACTTCAAGGGGAGGCCCTCCGTCCGGTCAAAATCCGGCCGCTGGAAATCCGCCGCCTTCGTCATCGGTGCTATTCCATATTGAATACCATCATACACCTCTTTGGCTCTTTTATTTTTTTTTTCGGGCTAATTTGAATTTTCGCTTCTTCTTCTTCTTCTTCTCTAGGAGCCGGATGGGCGGAGAGGCTGTCGTATTACGGAATAAGCTCGAATCTGGTGAGCTACCTGACCGGAAAAATGGGGCAGCCGACGGCCACGGCGTCGGCTTTGAACGCGTGGTATGGGACGGCGTCGCTTTTGCCAATTTTGGGAGCGTTTTTAGCGGATTCGTTCACGGGGCGGTTTCGGATGATCGTACTTTCCTCCGTGCTTTATATTTTGGTTAGTTTTTATTTTTTTTGTTTACCTTTCAGCTTATTTTATTGAGTCTGCTTTTGCTTTCGGCTTGAAAATATCTGGGTGTGAATTGTTCATGTTTTTTGGCTAGCCAGCAACCGTGCTGAACGAGGATGAATAAAAGGTTGTTACACTGTTGTAGCTTTTCATTGAATTTGCACAATTGCACTGGACTGGAAGGGACTTTAGACATTATTATTATTATTATTATTATTATTATTATTATTACTATTATTATTATTTTGAAACCTTATTTGTTGCAATAAAAAGTTAGATCTTATTTCATTGGTTTTTTTTCCTACTCATACACACCCACCTGATCGTATACTGATCCAACGGTACAAAATCCAGTGAGGCAGGTAAGCACGGATTTTCTCTGAAAGCTGTACATTTCGGCATGAATTTTGCCCATCACAAATGCCTAACCATCAGCTAGCCGTTCTTACCACAAAAAATATACTCATACTCATTTTTTTTTTCTTTAAAAAATACATACTCATATTCTTAAGATTTTATATGTTTCGTTTATATTGTATTTTAGTATGACATCTAAATATGAAAATATTTATATTTATTGAAAGAGTATGACGACTTAACCACACCAGCCATTTCACATGACGAAGTTTTGCATTTTCCTTTCTTTTTTTTAAAAAAATAAAAGAATTGTTTTGAGTTGTTCTATAATCTTTAATGGTGTCCACTCACATTTTCTGCTGGGACATCCTTGTCTTCTTTACTAGCTGCCCAAAGTATGTGGTGTAAGTGTAAGCATCCCGACTTCTCAGTCTTTCTTTCTTAATTCTCTGATAGAGACTGAACTGAGTAAAATTTACTTGACTGTTTCTAATTTTTTCACTCAGAGAGAACCATTTACTACACACTTGTTCTCATAATTGTGCTGGCTAGCTAGGCCCGACTAGAGCCTATCAATAGCCGACGAGCTACCCAAACCATATTTTTGGCCGACTACCGGATTCTTTTAGGCCTGGTCTAGTGCTTAAGCGACTGCCTAGATCGAGTTTTACAACATTCGTTTTAACCTTGAACTTTAGAAAACTCGATCAATTTTCTCTTATATTCCAATTTTGAATTTTCAAATCTGTCAAAAACAAATCATTTTTCACTTTCTTGTTCTGTTTAATACATTTCACAGGGACTCAGCTTCCTATCCCTGTCGGCCGCCCTTCGTCAGGCAGACACCTCCAATTGCAAACTTGCCTCAATCGACATTGCCAGCTGTACTCCCGATCAGCTCCAGCTCGTTTTCTTCTTTTTCTCACTCTACCTAGTCGCCTTAGCCCAAGGCGGGCTCACGCCGTGCCTGCAGGCCTTCGGGGCCGACCAGTTTGACGAGGATGACGAGGCGGAGTCCCGAGCCAAAAGCTCGTTTTTCAACTGGTGGTATTGTTTGTCGATAGGGTGTATTTTGTTGCCACTATTGGTCCTCACTTATATTCAGGAGAATGTGAGCTGGTTGCTCGGGTTCGGAATCCCGGCAGTCATCATGTGCCTCACACTGGCTCTGTTCTTGGTCGGGTACTCGACTTACCGGTTCTGGGTCAAGTCGGACGGGTCAAACCCGTTCGTGAGGATCGGTCGGGTTTTCGTCATGGCTGTGAGAAACTGGCGGGCCGCCTCTGTGCCGGCATTGTGTGAGGAGGAAGGGGTTGTTTCCAGTACAGCTTCTCAATTTAGGTGAGTACAAATATTCTTAAAACTCTGGGAAACTAAAATGTAAGATTTTTTGGTCACCATTTCATATGGAGTACTTAATTTGACGCTCATTGTTGCCTACGTCAATTGTAAGCTAGCTAGCTATATAGGACGAGCTTTTTAGAAAGTTGGTGCTTATCTCATAAGAAAAAAGGCAGGTTGAAATGTATATTTCAATTTACTTATCAGACTTTTACTATATCAGCTAGCTTTTCAGCTATAAATTCGAAATTCACTCGTTTATCAACTAGTTTTTCAGCTAGGTTTACCAAGCATAACCTGAACTACTTCATTCATTTGTCCCATTCCAAAGGTTTCTCGACAAAGCGTTGCTCCCTCGAGACGGGAAGCTCTGCTCGGCGCGCGACGTGGAGGACGCCAAGTCGATCCTCCGCCTCGTCCCAATATGGTTCACCTGCCTCGGCTACTCGATCGTGTACGCCCAGCCGTCTGCCCTCTACACGAAACAAATTGCGACCGTCGACCTCCACGTCACCCCCTCGTTCGAGATACCCGCCGCGGCCCTCATGCAGCTCTTCATCATCTCCACCATCATCATCCTCCTCCCGCTCTATGACCGTTCCCTCGTCCCCTCGCCCGTAAATTTACCAAAACGCCCCCAGGCGTCCCGTTGCTCCACCGCATCTCCACCGGCCTCCTCATCTCCCTCCTCTCTGTGGCGGCTGCTGCCCTCGTCGAGCGGCGCCGCCTCTCGGCCGCCCGGAGGGCTGGCCTTGAGGACCTCCCCGGGGCCGTGGTCCCCATAAGCGTGTGGTGGTTCGCGCCGCAGTACGTGCTGGCGGGGTCTCGGACGTGTTTGCGATGGTGGGGTGCAAGAGTTGTTCTACGGGGAGGTTCCGGGTGAGGTGAAGAGCGTGGGGCTTGCCATGTACCTCAGCATGCTAGGCGTCGGGAGCTTGACGAGCAGTTTGATGATATCGACGATACAGAGGGTGACAAGCAGGGGAGGGCAGCAAGGGTGGTTCGCGGACAATCTGAACCGGGCGCATCTCGACTACTTTTACTGGGTGTTGGTGGGGTTGAGTGCGGTTGGGCTGGCGGCGTTCGTGTGCTTCACGAGGTCGTATTTGTACGGGAGAACGAGTGTTCGTTTGTAGAGAAGAAGAGGGTCGCGTTATGAGATGACATTTTCTTGCTCGTTGTTGGCCTATGTCTATTTTGCTAAGTCCTATGTCTATAGAACAGGATGAGATAACAATTTCTCTCTTTTTTTTTTCTTTTTGTTTGGTGTTTCATGCAGTATGTTCTGTGATGGCGAAAAGTTTGGACCTTTTTGGGGCTTATTTTTACGTGTTGTTATGTTCTTGTTTTGCTTGCACTGTATATTCTTCTCACCTATTTTGCTTTTTCCTTTTCCTTTTTTCTGTTTCTGTGATTGGAAGCAAAAGTCTCCAACCGTATTTACCAAAACCCAGATTAAAAAATGACTTTTTATATAGTACTATATTCTCCGTGTCAAATTCAATAACCAGAAAA